GTCAACTCAGCTCTGACTCATAACAACCCCATATAGGGTTTCCAAGGAGCAGATGATGGATTTGAACTACTGACCTTTTGGTTCACAGTCCAGTGCTGATCCTACAGCACCATAGCCTTGAAAGTCCTGTATATATCATTAAAGCTTAATCTTATGTCTTAGAACATTTTTGCAAATCAAATTAAGGAATTCAAAAGTGAAATCACCTCCAGATCCTTAATAATGTCACGTAGTTCCGAATCGGCAGTGATAAAAGACGTTAAAGGTGAATATATACTTGATTCACATGACTTTGATGCCATTTTTCTTCGTTCTTTGTTTGCTTCTGAAATATTTCTGTTGGATATTTGGGATGAAGTAGTAGGCTCTACAGCATTAATAGGCCAAAAGTCTACAAAAGGAAAAACATTTTCAAAACACAAATTTTCTTCTGGCTGTGGGATAACATGCAGATTTTTCATTTGTTTTTTGCTTTTAGAAATTTCTGGGTCTGAAAAACCTGTCAAAAAATCCAAAGGAAGCATCTCTTCTTGATTTATACCAATGTTGTTATACGCTTCCTCAGTATTTGCCTTATATTCAGTTTCATCTTGTACTTTTCTTTCTTTTGATATTTTTAACGCCGGTCCATTGACATCTAATTTTGACCGAGTATGATGAACTCTCCAATGCTTCTTCAGTTTCCTATTTCTTTCCTCTGCTCCATGTGTATTGATGCTTGAGGAATCAATTCCATAAACTTTTAAGCCATACTTCATGCACAAAAATGAGCTTAGGTAGCCTTTACCAGAACCCAGGTCAATTACCTAAAGTTATGAAAAATAAAAAGAATTAAAAAGATTGTAAAATGGTGAAATAAAACATTCTGTATTTTTTTCAAAGAACAAGTAAATACATAGGTTGCATAATATATACAATCTGTTGTGCTTGTTTTTTAGTTAGTATTTTGAATCCTATGAAAAAATAATCACTCTAAACATATTTCTTCAACATTTTACTGGAGGTTCTAACCACTATAGCAAGCCAAGAAAAAGGATTAAAAAGTATAAATATTGGGGGGAAAAACAGAACAAATCCACGGGCAATGAGTAGATTCCAACTCATTGCAAGATACAGGACTTCCGAGATTATAAATCTTTACAGGAGCAGACAGCCCCATATTTCTTAATACTAATATGGAAGGGAAGATACATAATGATTCTGTTTGCAGATGACATGATTACATCTGCAGAAAATCACTTGGTAAGTAAGAAAATGGTAACAGAACTACTTAATAAATCTAGCAGTGTGTCAGGATAAAAGGTTGGTAGACTAGCAATGAACAATTAAAACATATACAATATAGTAGCAATTTCCAAAACCCATTGCCATTGAGTAGATTCTGACTCATCGTGTCCCTGTATGTGATTTAAGTGGCTGTAAATCTTTATGGAAGCAGACTGCCTGCCTCATTTTTCTCCCATGCAGCAGCTGGTGGATTCAAATTGCTTGCCTTCTGGTTAGCAGCCCAATGTGTAGCCCACTATGCCACCAGGGCTCCATAAAGAACAACTGTTGTTGTTTTTGTTACTTGCCATAAAGTCAGTTCTGACTCATAGCGACTCTGTTATGCGTTTCCGAGGAGTGGCTGGTTCAAACCAACCTTACAGTCCAGTGTTTATCCTACAGAACCACACCAAAGTATAAAATGGAATATGTAAGAATGAAGTTCATAGATGACTTTATGGATAATAATCAGCATGAATTCAATCCCCAGAATGTGGAAATGGATTCAGTCCCCACTTTTCCACTTTTCAATAGTTTCTCACACCAGCCACCCATATGGCACACTCTCTCTGATCTTAGCTACCAGGAGATAAAGCAGATATCACAGATTACTGCTGGCGACAGCATATGCAAGCACTGAGAAGCTGTGGCCCTGTGACCACATGGACGAAAATCCAACCCTGGGGCC